TCGTGCATTTGCCCGCATTTTATGTCAAAAGAGCCAATGTTCTTGCAGAGGTTGACAACTCTGCCCTGAAGACTTGCTCTTCTGTATGTTTAGATGTGGTTTTGTTATGCACCAGATTCATAAAKGGTTTTTATATATATAGTATGGGGTATGTGTCAAAGTACTATCTAGGACCATGTGTGTCATTTGGCTCGCGGGCCAAATCAAATGCGGCACGAGGGTAACTTCTGTCGGCCCCATTAAATATGAGAATAGTTGTTTATGTCAATGGTAAACTAAATTTATGATTCAATGCAACAAAATGAACATATTATAATGTGAAGGATAATAATACTTGTCCTGAGCTGTTGGCTTTACTGTGGCCCACTGAGAAATGTAATTGAACAGCCCTAATGTCTAAAAAATAAGCTGCTTTAAAGCCAGCATAAACTATTTCCTTCATAATACATGTCAGTAATGCATGGAAATTCCCAATCAGAAAGTATGATAATTCAGAATTCAAGACTTGACACAACTCAACATTGAGTAAAGGCTCCCACATACTCGGACGTACTGTGAGCTGCGAGTACACCGCTTGCCTATTGTCCYTGGACGTCTGAGACTTCATACTCGAGCGTACTGACCGCCTGACATTTTCTTTAATTTCTCGCAATTTCAGTCGGGATGTCAAGGATGAGGAGGAAGAGACAAGTTTGCATTTTAGCTTTAAAACCAAAGTGAACCAGAAAAGATCTGAGCTATTTCTTCCCACAAATTTATTGCTTTCTGAAAGTCCTTATATTCCTTCATTGACGCATCGTAAAGTTTTCTAATCTCCTCCATGAGACGCTCTTCAAAATTTGACTCCGTTTCGTCCACAAATGACACCGCTTCTCAACTTTATCTGCTTGGTGTCGCATCCAAAACAGTACTCGCCAGGTAGTTTAATGTGCGACACCGCGGACGTAAAAAATTGATCTCTGCGCTAGAGATGCACCGATATGAAAATTTCAGCTGATTTCAATATCCGATATAATCATCTCTGTTATGGCCGATAACCGATATTTACCGATATTACACGAACACACAAATTATATTATACATATACGCACAAACACACTTGTGTCTTTTTTTGATACCATAAATTAAAAACCAGACCTCTGACATGCCTCTACTTCAGTTATTCTTGGCTACGCAGCATCAATATCATAATCAAACAGATGCCGCTCAACCAACCATCTCCCCTCCCAAAACAGAAACACAAATCTAAAAAGTGGGAAATCTATATCGGACGTTAATATTGGCCCAGTTTTATATATCGGACCGATACTGATATTCAAAAAAATGACCAATATCGGCCGATACCGATACTAATGCCGATATATCATGCATACCTACTCTGCGCAAACGTCCGCTTCGAGTCCCCCTCAAGTCCTCATTGAGTCCCCCTTGAGTCCGCGCGGACCTCTTCGGAGCGAAGTACGCCCAAGTATGTGGGGGCCTTTAAACTCTGTCACTTTTACTAGTATTTCTGTATTTATTTCACATTTAGTCAGTTGTTCACAAAGTACTTTCAGTGTTTATAAGAGGACGTGTTAAAACAGTGAGCTCTACGTGGTATTTACTGCATAGAAACAATTAATGTTTATTAGTGGTGCTCAGCCTTAGCAATGAGACAAGGAATGTGATGTTTTCTGTTTAGTTGTAGTTAAACACGAAACATTGAAGTTACTTACAACTGGCCCTTTGAGGGCCACCATAATGCTCATGTGYCCCTCTGTGAAAATAAATTTGACACCCCTGATGTAGGACCTAAGCTTTTCCAGTTGAACATTTCGTTAATGCAAAGCATCCAACTGTTATGTCAAACATTTTGCTATAGTAACCTCTTACTATAGCAAAACAGTTTCCTTTCCATGTTGTAATTCTGGAACCAGTCTGCACACAAGAGATGTGGAGCTTTAAGTCCTGCCTACTCTCCCTCTTCACACAAACATGGTGTCACATAACCTTTCTTTTAATCATAAGATAACTAATTACAGCACAACCCAGATTTAATTAATGTTGTTGGTCTTAACCACTGCATACCTGCAACAGTCCATGCAGAGCACTTTTTGGGGGAGAAAAAAGTGCTCATTGGGTTTGCTTAAACTTTAAGCAAACCCAATGAGCACTTTTTTAACTTTAAGCCTTAAAGTTATCGCTTTCAAATTAATGTTGAATTACTTGTGTGTTTTTCCCCAGCATTGAGTCTAAATTGTTCTCTTCTTTTATATATTTATCATTTGATTTTTTTATTATAATAATCATTTTTTTTATTTTTGCCTGTAATATACCCTCTTTAATTTATTTTTTTGCATTTTCAGGAAGTACAGGACAAGGTGATCAGTCCTGAGAAAGCAGAGGAGGTTAAACTAAAGGCCAGGTATCCAAATTTAGGAAATAAACCTGGAGGCTCCGATTTGCTCCGCAAGCGCTTGCAGAAGGGGGTGAGTTAATTTCTGGTGTTTGCCTTCAAATCACCAAGAATTTGCCTGAGGCTAGTTCCCATAGTTTACAGAGTCAGCGTTGTACAGTAAAGACTCCTAAGTTTGTTTCAATATTTGGTTTTAAGGCACTCAAAACATGAGTTGTTATTGCAGTATTTCACRACAGAAACTGTGGAGGAAAACAGACAAAGATAAACTTTTCATTTGACCAGCTGGAAATGCTAAGCTTTGTGTGGGTTATAATGGTAAAATGAGTGGTGTTGTTCAGCCACGTAATTAAAAATGGCACCAACTTCAACTTATGAAATGTGATTTATTTATTTTATTTTTATTTTTTTCCTGTTCGGTGTTGTTAAAATTGTGACTGGTCACCAGGGAAAACAGGCATTTACAAGTGACCCTTTGGATTTTAATAGTTGTTGTGTAGCTTGACAACAGACCTAACGAGGAATGTTAGCCCAGCCATTATTCTGTAAATGGGTTTGTTTGTTTGTTTGTTTCATTTTCTAAATTGCAACAAAAATCTATATCTGTAATTTTAGTTTTTATTTAACCACCTGCCATTTTCCTAGGTATTTAGACAGTTGCTTAGATGCGTTGTTAAAACTTTCTGCATACAATTACTGAGTGAAGATACAAACAACTTGTACTTGTGTTTGTGAAATAATTGTGAATATTTTCTATCTTTTATTATATTCTATTTTGTTTTGTTCTTTTGATGTAATTCATAGTCTACTTTTTTCTGTCTGCAGCAAAAATACTTTGACTCTGGTGACTACAACATGGCTAAAGCGAAGATAAAGAACAAGCAGTTGCCAGCAGCTGCACCAGAGAAGGCAGAAATCACAGGGGACCACATTCCCACCCCCCAGGACCTGCCCCAAAGGAAACCCTCTCTGGTGGSCAGTAAACTGGCRGGCTGATCCACATGCGGCATCTCCTGGCCCCARAACCCACTCCACTTACGTCTCAAAGCTGTAACTTTACCTCTCCCTCGCCTCACACTTGTCCTCTGTCCACCAGAACCCACATCTAGAACCCCACTGAACTGGCTATCTGATCACTTCAAAAGATGTTTWRTTTASTTTCATCCTCATCTGGCCCTGRCTCCGTCTGCCCCTACCACTCACCCCCAKCTGACTTTTTTGTTTTGTTTTGTTTTTCTTTATATTTTCTCTTTGCTTCTGTGTAAGATACAGTATGAATGGRCTGGGTTGGAACAGTAAACAAGGCTCTTTACTGGTGAAAGATGAGCAGCAGAAACTACAGCTCTGTGGTTCTGAATGCTTCAGTATGGAGTTCAGGGTCCTTCAGATTGAAAGTATGCATCTGTATGTCTGTACAATTGTACATATTTGTCTGACARYGGGCAGACATCTGCATTTTAGAAAAATTTTCAWCTGATTTGTGTATTATTCACTGTATGATCTTTTAAATGACATTATGCTTGAGARGYAAAGCACTAAACCCAGAGACCAAGTTTAGTTTTGTTAAKAATTTTGTGTCCATATRAATGATAGACAGCACTTCTTTGGAGCTGCATGTGRGATTCCCAGCTGCAACCTTCACTGTGTTTTAATTCATTCAGAGATCCAGTAGATATTTAAACTGATGCTAAAAAGAAATGTACAGAAGTTATTGAGTGCAGATGAATGATTCCTTCAAGACATCTTAGATGTACAAGATGTTTTCTTAAACGATGAATAAAGAGCTGAAAGGTTGCACCGTATTTGTGGTGCTCTGTTTCACGTCTGCCTCGGCCTGACGAAGCAGTCTTTGACTGGGGTCACAGTTGTCATGAATGAATCATCTTGCTCACAGAGGTGTCGAGGAGAATCATTAAACCTTAAAARCAATTCCTGCAAGTGGGGTACCAGCCCTTAAATTGTTAAAATATATTTACTAGGAACAGGCTGTATAAAAACTTAAGGAAAGATCTTATGTAATTCTAATTTAAAGTAGTTTTAATCTTAAAATTGTTTTCAGCCCTTTGTTGTGCTTCACAGGGGTCATTTCTGACAGGATTTACTCGTGGTAAATCTAAGGCGGCGTGACATCTATGTGAGCTGTGCATGTAAATGGCTGCCCTGCTGTCATAATGTGCCATTTTGTTTTGTAAATAAACTAGTTTTGCACAAATGTTAGTTAAATGTGTTCTTTTGATTTTGTTTTACATACAATAAATTCGAAGAAAAAAAACCTGGTAACTAATTTCTATACATTTCATGAAGGTTTATTTTTTGAAGATTGTGCATCTCAGAAATGAGAAAAGTTATGTTTTTTATTTATTTCATAGAGAAAAACTCAGGCTATATGGAGTCATTACAAATACAGTGAACTATTTCAATCCATTGTAGTTTGATTGTTATTCTTACAAATATAAAATCCAGTGTCAGAAAATTAATGTATTAAATAGCCAGATTTTGGTACCTTTCCCAGGGGAATGCAATCAATCAAACTATTGGCAGACTTAACAACCATATTTACATTAAAAAAGGATATAAAAGTACATTAAAAAATGAGATGTATTCATAAAATCCTAGAAATAAAATTTCACAATTAATGCAGAGATCAATTCATACACAAAACAATTCAACCAGTGTGTTTTCAGGCTGGATAAGTAACAATAATTACCGGGTCTGTGAGCACTGAAATTATACTGATACCAGATACATCCAGTCGTTCTTTAAAACTGAACATCAACTTTCTTAAAAGTGATTTAAATGTGCAAACACCCACCGCTAAGAACATTTGACTGGCACTTCCCCATCCTGAGGATAATTCTCATTGCATCATTATATGCAACATGCAGTTTCTGCATGCTGGATTGCCTATAAGATAATGTCAGTTAAGGTTTTTATATTTTTATTATAACACATTATTCAAAGAAAACATAATAGGATTGGTTGTTTTGCATTTCCTTTAACAAATTTCCTTAATTAYATACTTGACACGTTATAATGTTGTAACATTACTATTTTTATTTATTTGGGAGAGGGGTGACAGTTTCCTGAGGGAACCAGCAGGAAAAAAAATTAACAGCCAACGCTTTTGCTCAACAACATAAAAGGCATTTATTTATTTATTTATTTATTTATGCATTTATTTATTTATTTATTTAGTTAGTTAGTTAGTTAGTTAGTTAGTTAGTTAGTTAGTTATTACTTGATCACATTCCCCACTTTTAAAGACAAGCAGCATGGTAAAGATTGTGTGTGCGTTCACATCCTGACCACCAGGTGGCGCTGTTTCCCCACACGACGGCTGCAGGTTTCTTTCTTGTGTTTTGGCTGAATCATTTCATCCATCATACCCAGAATGCAAAGTGAGACGCTGGGACTTGAACAGTCCTAAAGACGTTTGTGTGGTCGTCATCATGGAGATAAAGCATACATCTTGTCGTTGAGTACCGGCGTGCTAAACAAAGGATTTTTTTTTCTTCTTCTTCATCGCTTCATGAAAACACGCCGAGTGTCGTTCAGAGCAGATACCTGCCGGAGCTTTCGCCCAGATTGGAGGAAAGACGTACCGTCATGGCAGCGTCGGAGCTGTACACAAAGGTAAAGCAAGTTTATATATTTATTCGTAGCGTTACATATAGCTTCGTGCTAGCTTGTATGCTAATTAAATGCTTAGMTTTGTCCCATTCCACACACAATTTTTGCTTGACAGTATTGTTTTTACGCCGGTTAACATGAGTGTTTGTAAAGCATTGGTTTGTGGGCGGAGTTAAAAATCAATGAAAATGTGAAATTTAGTATTTTAGCCAGTTTAAGGTGATGCTCGCTTTGTAACGGTTGAAACTAACAACCTCCTCTTTCCTCACACACACAACATATTAAACACTAACAAAAACCTCTCGTGTCGTTAAATTAGGCCATTAATTATGAGACGTTATGTTTTAACCTTGCCTCCTAACCAACAAACGAGCTGCTGGAGGATGATGCAAAGGCGGTGCCAGCCATCATGGAGGCTCTGGTTCTCCCACAATGTTTAGCTTTTATCTTAAGCCTGTACACTTTAACCCCCCAGAGGGGCTATTTTATGTCACGGTGGCCGCTTGCTTTATTCGTTCCAGCCCGGTGTGTTGGATTTAAAGCGAGCTAAACAGGGCTGGGTACCGCCGAGCTGCTGCGCTGTGCGCTGTCCCTCAGCATCCGGATGGTTTAGCATCCTTCCTCTCWTAGCATCCAGACCAGATGAGGCCCTGAAAGGCTTTTGGTCTGCGTGGCTTTATAGAAACATATGTTCATTCAAACACTGGGCCTGGTACTCATGCAGCACGCAAGGTCATCTGCTGCTGCCGGGAAGACAGTAAATGTGAGGCAAGGGATAAAGAAAGTGCTTGTGTGTGGAGGGAGATGAGTCACCCACCCCCCACTCCTTCTCTTTGACAGCTGGTGTGTTCAGCTTGAATAATGGTTGTGGTGAGGAGAAAAACGTGACAGTGGCTGTTGAGATTTGTTTTAAAGTCTGCAACCTTTACGACCAAAAGAGCCATTTCTACATGACTCACTAATAAAATGTGTTCAGAGCCGCAAATCAAGCTACAACTGTGATTATCAACTGGAGGTTTGTGGGCCTTTTCAGGAACCTAGTTTATGACCAGTGACATTTATAAAAATTAAAAAAAATTTGTGAATTTTATTATTTATTATTTTTGCACATCAGGACAAATGAAAAGCCTATATTCATATAAACAAGAAAAATACTGTATATAGMTTTTACCAAATTTCATAAAACTAGGTCAACTGAACTGTTCAGGTATTTTTTTCTAATATTATTATTATGTAGTTTTCAAATTCTTTAAAGAGTAACTTACCCCAAAATTAACTTTTTTAGCTGATAAACTGTCTAGAATGTGTCTAAAATGTTATATAG